AGATCGGCTCCTAGATGACATGAGAAACATCGATGAGAGAATATCGAGGGGTCTGCGTCCATCAGCACCAGAAATAGATGTTTATTTTAGATCAGGGCTAATCACGAACAAAGAAGGTGTTGACTAAGCTGAATTCTAGCGCTACTCCGTTTTTGATTCGATTAACGACGGCTTCAAATTGCTTGGGCGGCAGATAGCTTGGACAAGTCTCGAGAAGCTTCAGTCCCTCGCGCATCTCCTCTTCACTTACGAGTGATTTCAGGGCTTGAAAGTTAAAGATAGAAGTGGGATGACTGAATAAACCACCTCCGGACTGCTCATGTATCGACTTTTGCTCGGCAGCGTATTCCGGGTCCCTGGTCAGATCCTCTAAGGTTTTGTGACCAGGTTTGAGCCGGTAACTTGCAAACACAAATATATGATCCGAAAAATTCGAGCCGACGCCCTCAAGATTCAGTGCCAATGGTATGTTTAACGGTTTCAAAATTCGTTCGCTTCCTATCCCACTCCTCTCTAGGATCGCAGGTGTTCCGATAGAACCGGCGCTCATTATCACTTCCCTTTCAACCATGACACGACAATGCGTCCCGCAATTAGAGTATTCGACTCCAAGCACTTGCACTTCCGAGCTGGTGTCACTTTTCTTCAGAATAAGTTTGTCCACCTCGCAATTGCTTCGTACAACGAAATTGCTACGTGACTGATGAGGAAAATCTGAGAAGAATGGGGGCTTAGCAAATTCCAAAACTTTACTCAATCATTCGAGTGATTGTCAGGAAAGCAATCAACTCACAATATGCAGTCGCGCTCGTCACGCGGCAGCCCTTTGCGTCAATAGTTGAAGGGTAAATGTAAGCTCCCTCCAGTTTGCCAGCAAAGGGATCCTTGCTTTGAATCACATGACCAGTCGCAGTGCAGGCTGAAAAATAAGGCTTGAATTGGGGTGGGATATATTTAGGAAACGAATTGGTAACCGGACCATCTGTCCCGTGGCTTTCGGGAGAGAAAATATATGGAGAATCCGCTGGAGGGATGATCAATCGTTCACTCTTCTTTGATGCCCTTTCGACCTCCGACCATCCCCTGTGATTAGACCAAACCAAACAAAAGGCATCAGACTCCTCCAAAACAAGGACAAAATAAATCATTTACCATCCTGGATTTCCCAGCCGTTCGATTGTATTGTAATCCTCCGCTTCAGCCCTACTGCTCATCATGAAATTTATAGCTGACGAGCCGCCCAAGACCTGGAAAGATTGAAAAGAGGATAAGAACCAATATCCACATTAAAAAAATATGTTGAAACCTGTGACGGAGGAGCACCTTTCCTCGAGGGTAAGGTATTCTTCGTTCTTTGGCACCCTGTTGCGGGACCGTGGAATAGCTCCAATCAACATCTGAACCCAAATTGTTAACTAGAATGGGCACATAAAGACAAGTTCATCTCAGTTTTTGTAAAGTTTCCAAAAAAAATGATTCTAGTTATACGAA